CTTAACATGTAACATTTCAATGGGCTAAATTCTTGGGCTGGGTGGTGAATTTATTGTTCAACTATTTCTGTAGCATATCAGACTTGATTAATCCGAGTGTTTGGGGCATTTTACACATAGAGAGTTTTCTATTGAAAGCATTTACTTCCCAGTGCAAAATATCACAAAAACCCTATTCCCAATAGCAGTTTGAGAGATAAGTGGCTGCCAGAGGAAGGAGATTTTACTCTGTGCCTTTGTTTCCATGCAGGTAAACTAGAGTGAATAGTCATAATTGCTGTACTCTAAAGAATCCCAGAACTGACTGTTAAAGACCACCTAACACAATGTCATAACGTGATTAATTTGGTCAATTTATTTGACAAAGTCTGTGAAAAAATAAAATCAAAAGCCTTATTTGACTGATCAGTCAGTTTATTCAAAATACTTGATTCAAAACTAAAATCACAATATTGGGCACAGCCAAAATGGATATCAATGCCGTGAAAGCTCAGGTCATACAGACTTTGAGACATGTATTATAATGTCATCCAGTTCTACCAGATACAGTAAGGGTGGGCTACATGAATAGTCTAAAGGTATGTCTTTATGTTCTGAAAATTCCTTCATAATAGCAAAGCTGGCATTTTATAATTTTCAGAGCTATAAATCATTTTTAAAGTCATGATGATACTGAAAGCAGATGTGAAAACATATGTTTGCCACAGTTGTATAAACTGCTTACTTGTCACAGTTAATAAATGTTGACACTTCTACTTTAACTCATTCCCTTTTAATAACTAAACTCTATTTCAGGAAAATATGTTTTTTTCTTACCACCACAAATATAACTGGAAGGACTTGACATAGAGAATCCCATTTTTTTAAAAAAACCTTTCCACTATAACTGGGGTGCAGTTTCATATGCCACTCTTGCTTATTAACGTCCTCATCAGGATATGTGGCCAACTTATTTGATTTAAATAAGTAAAATTTTACCATTCCACAGCAAGAAATTCAGAAATACCAGTGCATACTACTATATATTTTATGAAAATCAGTTACTGTGCACCTGTAATAACGTTCCAGTTGATTTTTCATAGGCCACAATAGTGTACACTTGCGTGCTGCAGTACACAGGACAGTCCCAAATGCCATTTTGACTGATGGGGTTTGCAACTCTGATTGTATCATACGCATCATGTACAGCTTGGGACTTTTCTAGCAAAGCTGCTTTACTACCAAGATGTCCTTTAAATAGTCATGAGATGGTGGGAAAAAAAGTCTCGGGAACAAATTGTTGCTGGGTTATAAACAAAGTTTCATCTATAACTAGACTTTCATTACCTGTGCAAGAGTTTGGGTAGTTTAATATCATGAACCTGACTTTCATTCTGACAACTATTCCAAAATCAGCCATTTGCATTTTGGAGCCCCAGAGGGTATAGCCTTTCACTGTCAGGCTAAGAAAAGACAAAACATGTGGCTAGGAAATCAACCATAGATCAATGAAATGAAAATCATACATTATTTCAAATTCCAACTAAAATGCTCATCTAGTAATTATGAAGCACGTTCAGTTTACAGAAAAGAGAAAATATTCTTCATTAACTCTCCAGTTCATGAAGTATTTTTTTCTATATATTGTAGGCACCTTTAGTAGATAGAAAAATTTACCCTGTGGTGAAGTACAAATAAACTATCCGATGACCTCAGAAATTATATGTTAGCTACTGTCTAACTCATGGTGACAGCAACAATGTATCATCTATGCCACACGATTATATATTTTCCTTTTCTCTTACCCTTTCAGCCTTATAAACAAAGTTGTACTCAGCTTTCATATTAGGAGAGCATCACTTTAAAATTCTTTATCTTCCTTGAACAGCTCTCCTAAGACAAAACTGGATACTATGCCGAGGTGATACATGTACCTCAGCTGATCAAAAGGCAGGTTGAGATAATATGTATCAGTATTCCAGGTAAATACCTGATGGGCTAACTTGCTAAGCTTTCATCTGAAATGTCCAAATTAGTATATATTTTAAAAATCACTTTCAAGGATTGACAGAAGCAGCTCCCCTGTGTGACAGCAACTCAGTTTTGTCAAATATAACTGTCAACTATAACCAGCAAATGGCGAATCATTTAAACATAGTTTAAAAAGTAAACATATAATACAAAGGGAGTCAGGTGTCTCTGAGCTGGCATAGTAAGAGGGCTTAAGATAAAGTTTCCAACCACATGCACAGATAAATTTCAGGTGGATATGTAATTTATAACCTCCCAAATAAACAAGCTTCAGATAAACATCATGTTTTCTACTATTAAAATTACTTATCCAAAGTTAGTATGAATCTATTCTTACTAAGGGAAATGTGGATGCAGTGTACAGCACACGGGTGTTAACTGAGTTAGTATCTGATTATTATATGTGTATCAAATAAGCAAAAATCATTTTACCTTTATTATGTTTTTGGAATTTTTTGATGGTTAGTCCATTATCCTGAACAACAGTAAGTTCCTCTCTATTGCTGGGCATCATAACTATAAATAAGAGATGTAACTGAGTAGTTTTCTATGTAAATACCCAGAGAAAAGGCAGAAAACATCACACAAATGGCTAATATAATCTAATAACAACTAACCTAAGTTTTATATACTTCTATTTCTAAAACAGTAGAAAGATTTTTCATTGGTCTGAAGATCATATAATGAAAAAATCAGTAAGTCGCTTGATCGTGTGAGTTCTAAAGTATAATTAATATATAAACATATATACATATGAACTTGTTAAACATAGCAAGATTAATAGATAATATAACTTTCTGGAAATTATTATGATTCTTTATAAAACATATTGAAAGAGAAAAAATGTTAATTTTCAGAGTTTATAATTTAATTCTCTTTAGTCATATTTTATTCAAACATTATACAGCCCTATTAATAAAATATGGTAACTGTAAATGTAATATTATACCTGATGTAAATGACGAGTTGATGGGTGCAGCACACCAACACGGCACAAGTATACATATGTAGCAAACCTGCACGTTGTGCACATGTACCCTACAACTTGAAGTTTAATAATAATAAATTAAAAAAAAAAATTCTCAAGCCTTTTTATTTATTTATAGACAATCTTGGTATCATTGTTAGACAACTGTGGAATGTGCATATAGAGCCTAATTACTGCCAGTGCAATTAGAAGTAAACTATACTGTCAACATTTTTTTCTAGGATATTACATTGCTTTGGATATGTTTGATTTTACTTCTAAGTGTAAGTTGCTCATTCTTTTATGATATATCTATTACCAAGTATATTTCCCTATGTGCTCTGCTTTTTATCCAGCACTCAATAAATAATTATCTCTCTATATCCCTTTCCCCTTTTTGTCTCCTTCTTCCCACTCTCATCAATATGAATGGTATCCCAACAGAAGAATGTGTCCTTTTGCTTCTTGATTCATTAGTGGTCACCCATTTGTAGACTCTTGTTCTTTCTAAGACTTTCTTGAATCAGTTGTACACAATGTTGTAACAACCAGGTAGTCTATGTCAGAGAAAAGAGTAAAGCTAGAAGATGTCTATCAGGTCTTCCAGGAATTAACCTTACTCTCTGAGAGACATTAGCCTCAAGCTCTGATCTACTGGTTCTTAACCCTGGCTGAACATAAGAATCTACGGAATAAATGCTGAAAAGCAAAACAAAATACTGCTGCCCAGGCTCTATTCCAGACCAAGTGAATCAAACTCTGAGCATGTGGCCTCAGCATCCATATTAATAAAAACTCCATAGGTGATTATATTTGGGAGCCAGATGTGAGAAACACTATGCTCACCATGAAGCTAAAGAGCTCCAAAAAACATATAATACTGAAAAGCTAAGTGAGATTTGGATTAATTTCCCCAAGGGATAGTCTTCATCCTTCTGAAATCTAAAACCTTCCTTAATCTCCCAAATTTCTCTTCCCCCAAGAAAATACATTATTTTGGAAAGGCTGAAAGCAATAGCTATTATGAGCTGTAAACATTCACAGTTCACTTAAAGCACTTCCCCCCTTTAAGACTAAAGGGATAGCAAAAATCGTTTTGCCAAAAGGAAGTGGGTACATAGGAGATTGGACTGTGTAGGTACAGAAGATTAACGAAGATTTTACCTAACTCAATTGATCGGTAATTACTATACACTAAATGAGAATTTGTTACAGCTGAATGTACCTGTCGACTTCTATATACCTGAGTAGAATTAGATAGCAGGAAATGATAAGTAATCAAAGTCAAGTCACACAGAGAAGAGTAATTTTTATCACCCACACTTCCTTGGAACTTTTTTCATATAATGTTTCATTTCACCTCTCAATAATCCAGCGCATTAGACAGGGTGATAAGGTTTTTTTTCCATATAATAAGTAAAGAAACTCATCGTGGTTAAGTGGCATACACAAGATGTTATAGCTAGTTAGTGCCAGACCTATAGCTAGACTAAAGTTCCCAATATGCCACATCACAACCAATTTCTGGAATAGTGTCTATGGTGTAAGGCTTCTGAGACAACAAAATATATATAAACATAGGAGAAATCATGTTAAATATTTGTGATCTAAGTTGTTGAGATTGTGGCAAATCTTATATTGATTCACTTTTTATTCACTCTTAAAAGGGAAACTGCCTAAAGGATATTTCAACTTCCCTTATTCAAAAAGATGTTGTGACTGTGTCAGGTGTATTGTATCACATATAGAACTCACATATACTCTACAAACAGTTCATCATATTAATTCCATGAGATTGAATGATACAGTAAAGGAAGATCTTTGCAGAGAACAAATTTCTAATAATGTAAGTTTCATTTTGTTGGTCATATTGTTTCAGCAATTACAAATGACCAACTTTCAAAAAGCTATTTATATTAAAGAGGTGTCAGCTTCCCCAGCTTTTCCCTCTCCTCTATTTTTCCTAACAACTAATTTCCTGAAACAATATTTTTCAATTACCTGTTTCCGAAAAGTTACTCACCCATTCTTTCCAAGTGATGATCCATCTGAGAGGGAGAACTGGACACACTGCTGCTGGAGTGGGAAGAGGTCTGGCTCCCAGGACGATGATTCTCTTCCAGAGAAGGAGCAGGAGAAGGACTCTCTGGGATCCGCTCCTGACACAAAAGGAAACACAAAAGGAAATGTCATCTATGCGCCAAGTTTTTATGTTGGTTGACTCTATACATTTGAAATGTTGACCTCTCACTTATTGTGAATGTGTACTCATCTACAATAATTCGTCTTACAAACATATCTCCTTTTTTTATTATACTTTAAGTTCTAGGGTACATGTGCACAATGTGCAGGTTTGTTACATATGTATACATGAGCCATGTTGGTGTGCTGCACCCATTAACTCGTCATTTACATTAGGTATGTCTCCTAATGCTATCCCTCCCCCCTCCCCCCTCCCCACAATAGGACCCAGTGTGTGATGTTCCCCTTCACTTCTCAAAAAACCTATCATTAAACAAAAATATATTTTTGATTCTTGTGAAATTAATAAAATATCATGAGGGCTAAATTATAGAAAAAGACAAAAAAGCATATGGTAAAGGGTCAAGAAAAGTTAATTTCCATGTGCTCTCCTAAAAACTTCATAAATGATTAATAGTGTAGGTGTGTTTTGAAGGTTATTGTTATTGTAGCTTCTAGAATGATGTAAAGTTCATAGCAAGGCCTGAAGGGTGATACTCCTATCTCATTAAGAAGGAGAACTCCCAAATGTAAAGACTTGAGAGCCCTGGAATAAAACTCACAAGTCATGGCACCTGGTACAAGTTGAGCTTTTCTGTGTGGACAAAATTTATGCAAATAATATACTTGTATATTAGACACCTGTAACCTCTCAGACTTTAATAACTTATGTTGAATTCTGCCAACAAAATATTTTAATAGCCTGGGCATGGTGGCTCATGCATGTAATCTCAGCAATTTGGGAAGCCGAGGAGGGTGGATCACCTGAGGTCAGGAGTTCAAGACCAGTCTGAGCAAAATGGTGAAACCCCATCTCTACTGAAAATACAAAAATCAGCCAGGCATGGTGGCAGGCACCTGTCATCCCAGATATTCGAGAGGCTGAAGCAGAAGAATCCCTTGAACCCAGGAGGCGGACATTGCAGTGAGCCGAAGTCGTACCACTGCACTCCAGTCTGGGCAAAAAGAGCGAAACTCCATCTCAAAAAAGTATATATATTTTAATAGTCACAGTACATGATTATTGTTTTTTTCAAACTTAACGCTACTATCTATCAAGGTCACTTCTTCTAGTATTCCATAGATTTTTTTGTAGTTTTCAGTAATGAATTTTAATAAAATATTTTTGCATACTTCTGCAGTAATTATTATGGCTCTCAAGACTTCTGATTATTAAAATTGCTATAAAACACTGAAGCTATTCACCATGTTTATGCATCACAAATTGATGAATAAATTGAAATCATTAAGTTAATTTGATCAATAAAAGAACCAAATTGCAGTGCTTATGCACATATGCAATAAATGTGACTGGGTGATAGACATGCTGGGACAGAGAATGTTCTATAAAATATTTAATTAATCCATAATAAATTTCTTCAATTAAATGTTGTGGCTAATTATCTGTAATCACATCATTATTCTAATCACCATAACATTAAGAAATAATTTGTCAAATATGTGCTTGTACACGTCCACATTGATTTTGCATGAGAAGCCCAAATAACCCCCCTAAAAACTGTTTGTTTAATGCAAAAGTAATAGCATGAGAGTTAAAATTTATTATTTCATTAGTAGTAGTTAACATTATCCAATGTCTGGCATTGCAGCAGGCACAATGATGCCACCTCCCCAACTTAAAATCTCCAATTCACATCTTAATCCCAAGAACATGTGAATTTGTTACTTCACATGTCCAAAGGGACTTTGCGGATGCAATTGAGAATTGTGGAATAGGGAGATTATACTGGATTATCTTAGTGGACCCAATCTAATCACCAGGATTCTAAACTGTGGAAGACACAGGCAGAAAAGAAGGGTCAGAAGGAGAAATGACTGCAGAGGAATTGTCACAGAGATGCAACATTGCTGGCTTTGAAGATGGAAGAAGGGAGCCATGAGCAAAGAAATGTGAGTGGCCTTTAACAATAAACACTGAGCATTTCTAGAGGGGGAGAGAGGGAAAGGGAAAGGGCTGAAAAACTACCTATTAGACACTATAGACACTACCTAGGTGACGGGACCATTAGTACCCTAAACCTCACCATCACATAATATATCCATGTAAAAAACCTGCACATGTATCCCGTATATCTAAAATAAAAGTTGAAATTATTTTAAAAGAAGAAAAGAAAATAGATAACAGATTCTTCTCTGGAGCCTATAGAAAGAAATGCAGCACACCTTGACCACACCTCGCTTTTAGCCTAGTGAAACTAATGTCCAACTTCTGACCTACAGAACCCCAAGATAATAAATTTGCACTGTGCTAAACCACTAAATTTGTGGCAATTTGTTATAGCAACAATAGAACACTAATACGGTCATCAATGTAGTATGCATATTTTTAAATTTTGCTTTACATTATTGCTTAGCATTTCATTAACATCCAATAACTTTAGTGAAATGAATAGACTTTGAGTATATTACCTGTAGTTTATGCTAATTAAATACCAATAATTTTAAATGTACATTACATGTTAAGGACTTTATAGCTGTTGTCATGCCTCCAAAACAATGTTTCCAAACAGAGTAGAATACTGATATATTTCTCTTATATTTAGTATGTAGGAAAATATCTGCTTGTCACATAATGTCTGCCAGGAAAAATAAAAAGAAATATAGAAGCAAAGCAGAAGAAAAGAAGCAAGTTTTTTCCCCTAATCATTCTATTCACATTTTGGAGGGATGGTACAGGTACTGAAAGCAATATCCATACAGCCCTTCTATCATACGCTTTCAATTTTGAAAAATAAACTTGTAGTTTATCAGTTGTGAAATTCAACTTAAACTATAATGCTTTAAAATATATTATTTAAATAGTATGTGTGTGCGTGTGTGTGCGTGTGTGCACACACGCACACACACACGCGCATACACACACACCAGTGAAAGGAATTTAATATATGTGGCCTTTTTTTTTTTTTTGTCTTTCATCATTGTGTCTCACTGATTCCACGCCAAAATTTGTGCGAAAACTGCAGAACATTTGCTATTTGTGTTTGAATTCCAACACTGAAAATGTCCTTTAAATATGTGTAATTTAATGAACTATATTTATCTCTCATGGACCTCTGAATGAATGGAGAGGGACAAAGTGCAGCAGTTATTGTGAAAAAATAAAACTGACAAAAGGAAAATCACTATGTAACAGCAAACTGGCATCACATATACAGCAATGTATGCTGCTGTAATAAAAATAAACAATTTTTGAGTGATGCATGCAGTTTCATGGTTTAATAAACAAGAGAATCCAACTGACAGTGATACTTGGCCTTGCTCACTCTCCCTAATAAAAGCTGAATGCTCATTATGAATACACAAAAATCATAAGCGCACCTATACGAATAGAAAATATCATGAATGTTAATAAAAACGAAATTGATATAACTCATATTAAGAAAAAATAGTGGATTCCTCTAACATATTTAAAATTAGCATAGGATCGAACAATATAAACTCCAATAATTTACACTGAAACTCCTTCTTTGCATTTTCAGCAGCATCTTATGTGAAACAATGAACTAACTTTGAGAACATAAATTAGAAGGTGACTATTAAGAGTGACAGTAACATTTTGCATGAAGCGAATTTTCTCCTTTAAGATTTTGTAGCCTGTACTTACCAAATTCGATCAAGGTTCAGTCCAGTGTTATTTTTCCAAGGCAGCACAGAAGTCAGACTTTTTACACCACGCAAACCATGTTATGTGAATGCAGTGTCTTATATTGATTAAGAATTAGGTGTTGTGTTGTTTTTAATCTCTGTGGAAGTGGAATGTTTAAGTTCTCCTAAAATAATGAATAATTATATGAACAATTTCTTCTTTGCAAGTAAACAGATCCATTTCTTAGCTCTGTAATAAGTATGCATCTATTTAGCTACTTAACTGCAATATGCTTTGGTTCATTAGGTGGCTACTGTTGTGTCTCAGCCTAGTTAAAATTTCACAGCAAGTTAATCTGTTTTATTACAAATGAGAACACAAGCGATAATGTTTTCACCATTTGCCAAACACAGGGTTAACAGTATTTGCAACAAATCAATAAGTACATTTAAAAAGGAAACTTGCAAACCTAAAACCCCAATCATTTTTACTCATTGATAAGTTCATTTACATGGCATTGATGACTTTTACAACCCTGTTACTTTTCGCATATTTAATTTATGCTCCATCGAAAACAACTGTAGCTCCTATGAACCACAGAAGTCTTCTCCAAATCCGAAGTAGCAAAGGACAGAAATTTCCAAACTGTATACATTCTCACAATTCCTATTTTTCCCTGTAATTAGTAATAGTATCTTCAATAATAACTCAGATTCTGATGTGTACTTACATAGTTCAAGGACTTTGCTTAAAAAGAATAAATTGTTATAGAAATTGTTATTAATTAGTACATACAATCCCTTCTTCTACTATACCAGTTCCTTTTCTTTAGAGGTATATCACAAATGGTTAAAAATGATGCCCATTATATCAAAGTATTTGAAAGTACATTTGAACCTTCATAAAGGATGGGACAATGTTTAGAAAACTGAGTTTTTTATCACAGTCAATTTGGCTTAGGATTCAGTTTACTGGCACTAAAGTATCAACTCTGACCATGTTCATAGAGGCCATTTATTTCATTTCAATATATTGTTTTGCATTCTTGGAAATATGGAAGCATACACAGAATTTACGAAGTACTAACACATTTGCGTTAAGCATCTCTACCATGTGGTAATATGTATGTGCACATGTTCCATTGCCTTTTAAAAACAACTGTGTCAACGTTGAATTGCCTCTGATATTTTATTATACTGATTTATTTCAAGAATTCAGTAGAATTATGTAATATATGTCTTATTTTTATTTAGTTTGACTTCAACTCTCATTGTAATTACTCTTCCAAATGTTAATCTATTAATGAGTTCC